CTTTTCAGAACATGACGACAGAAGTGACTGAAGACACTGAACAGAAGAAATCACGTCATTCCTTGCACATCATCATACCTTTAGTCATCTCCTTCTTGGTTGTGTTCAGTGGTTGTGCCATATGGCTATGGTTGTACAGGAGAAAGAAATGTGTGTTGTGGCTCTCACAAAAGAATTATCGCCGGTTTTCATGATGCTGACATTGTTGTCTTCGTTTTATAGTTTATGAAAAACACTTTATATTTTATTAAACCTTTCAATAAATCGGGGATATTTTCATTAAACTACATACCAGTTGTACGGTTTTTCACGTATACGATTATAAAATATAGTTTGTATTGTTTATGTGATTGTTTTCATCCAATATAAACTGATACGTTTTACGAGAGTTAACAACATTGCACTATGTTGTTTTGTTGGACTTCTGTCCAATTTGCTAACGATGATATTATACACTGTTAATAATTCCTAATAAGATTGGAGCTTCTGATGATCGCATTTCATTTTAATCCACGATTTTGAAAGATACTTTCCACATATATGAGCAATTTTATACGTCTTTTGGTTCATTCCGCAATTTCCCTGTTGACACAGAGCTTTGTTTTTAGAATAACACAAAGTAGACTTGCCCCCGTTAGCTTTCAAAGAAGATTTCAATACTTTGAATAGGCGTTTCATGGCCGCTTTTGTTGAGTACCATGAAGTGATAGGAATTCGGTCTTTAACATTGAATTTGTTATTCTTAAAGCAAACACACACCATACTTGAAGCTGAAGATGTTCCTAGTCATGTCCACTATCCTAAAGTTTCATGTGAAGCTGATTTGAACGACTACCTGCAGATTCCTTTGGATAAACTTTCATCAGGCTAAACATCGACATCATCTGTTCAGAATAACTACTTGTCATTCGGTTTAAGTTGTTGTACAGCCATATTCCACGTAATAATCCATGATATAGTCAGTGATTTTAGACGTTCTGACGTTTTTCAAGATGGTCTCAATATTCACGGTTCTCATAAAATATCCCACAATCAGTGGCCTTCTTCTTCCTTACGTCATCTGTGTAGGAAGTAATTTCGCACTGGTGTAATTCTAAACTATTCTCTAGACTGTCGAGCACGGAGTCTCAGCTTAGTCAAAGTCAGAACAAGTAAGCCATTGGGCTTGATAAACTTTATCTGTTTCTAAAACGTAAACTAACACTGCTAGTATACAAAATTAACAACGCAGTCCATTAAACAGGAAAGAGGAAAGAAACAGATAACATACCAAACAGTAACTAGACGATAGAAAAAATAAGTTCACAAAGCGAATATTATTTTATAATGAACATGAAATCGTGGTTGATGAATAAATAAGGCGTAGTTATACAGGAAGTTAATGTGATGGTAGGCGTTTCATGTTATCATGATGGATTCGTTTATCAGTCAAACTTTAAACCCGCTACGAAAAGAACACCACATCCATCGTCCTGGGTTGTCGTCGTCATCATGATCGTCAGATTGCTAGCTTCTTCCAGTAGGCGCAGATTTTATACGTCCTGAATGATTTCTTCGTTTGCCATTCTCAACTTCGCAGTAAGGTGTACGCTTTTTACTTCCGATTCGTTTCTTCGTGCAAACGCTCCAGTTTGATGTATTTGAGTTAGGTACTATGGACTATCAATACAGTTTGAAATGCTGATTTGAAAATAGTATTCCCAGTATGTTTTGCCAAGCTTCCTGGATCATTCACTATTCTTGATGGTATTTCCAACTATGCTGCTAGTCCTACTTTACTTCGTAGATGTGGATCACCGAAATGAAGGTTTTGGTGCAAAAGGTCTAATTGTACTCATTGTGTCCTCCTGACTTTGTACTGGTATATGTAGAACTACTAAAGTGTATCAAAAGCTAACCAGGTGGTACAAGTTGGCTTTCTGCATTCCATTATTTCTGATGAACACGCATGCTTACGCACAAGCACACATACATAATTTGAAGGTACACAGAATAATCGCCACAGAATGCTATATACGTACAAGTGACAGATATATTTGTGTATGGAATAGTGAACAGTTCTCATCAACTATCAATGTTCTCCGACTGTCAAATACTCTCCAAACATTTTATTCAATAGTGTTATCTCACCTAACTAATTAACATAGTCATATTAAATTCATTTCAACTTAGAAACGAATGTCACTGTCGAATGTGGAGTGAAGATATTAGTATAGTAGAGGTGATTATCAAAAACGTTTGGTTAGATCGGGTGTACACAAGTCTTTCACGCTTGTTCTGACCATACACTGACTGACGAAGTAATAAGTAAACCGAATTCTAGGCTTTGCGGGACAACGTTTCACAGCACGTTCAGGGATAACAATTATAATCTGGAAAGGTTGAAATTTTATTTGGAAGTGACTGGTTCCTAAAACGGTGATCAGTGGTGACTAAGGCTCCATGAAACAAAAATATACCACCCAACACCAGGCCTGAATCCTATCATTGGGGACACTATATGTGGACGTCAACAAGGATTTGTCGGTCCACCAATCTATCAAATCATCTATACTTACGAAAAATATGTAACCATAGACTTAATGCAGGCAAACGTGATGCAAAGAATAGGCCGACAACAATAAATCTCGTTATTTCACAGTTGAACTCACAATTGATCAGTACGCAATCTGCAAGTGGTCACAACATTCCTCCTCACCATATCGATTATGTACGGCTTAATTACAAAGAGGGGATAATTATCCTAGCTCTGCGTCAAACTGATATGAACACTTCAATTTCCCTAGTACAAGTATCGTGTTTTTTGGTTCAAAGAACTCACTGGTTCATCCTGTCCGATTCCTCTTTCAGACTACAGCTCAAGACAATCCGAAACTCAAACAAAACCATGGTCTGGCAGGCATTAAATTACACAACATCGATATGGACTTCCTTAGCCGGTTTACACAACAATGGAGCTCAAGCATTCATTCACTTTCTTACTTCGAATCGGTATTATATTTCCTATTATCCTATATTGAATGTTGAAAAGCACTGTGTGTTTGAACAGTTATTCTCCCACTCCAATGAGACTGCCCTATGGCCTAAACAAAGACTTTCATCTGTTTTTCTATCAATAGAACGACGGTTACCTACAGGCTCAAAAGTGATGAGCTCTGTGTTGAACACACACAGATATTACGTCACCTCCAAATTTAGGTGGGTGAAAACACAGTGGATGAAACAGTTCCAAAACGAAGGATGATTGCATGTTCTCTCAGTTTGATAAAAAATTAAGCTATAGAAGATGATGACATATTAAGAGAAGTCAGAGGTTTGCTTCTCACCAAATGACTGAAACTTTGTCTTCAGGGAGAACTGCTGCAATATTTTCGTCGGTGGAACTCAATTATAATTGTCGATTCATGTATTATGTTCAGTGACATAGTTGTTGTTCCGAAACCATTATATCGAAACGTTCCGAAGCCATTCCACAGTGGTCATCCTGGTATCAATAAGATGAAATTGTTGGCTCAAAGCTATGCTAACTGACCTACAACGGTTCAGGTTTTCGAAACTAGATGCCGCAGTTGTTCATTATGCCTATAAGCGGCCAAAATTCAAGGAAACGCAAACCACAACAATGGGCAAAGCCGGACAGTTTATAGGAGAGGCTGCAGACAGATTTGGGTGGCTCAGTATAAGGGAAATTGTTTTCAGACATAGTGGATGTGACAAACATATGCTATGGCGAATTGCACATCCATTGAAAGAGTCAGCAAACTATTTGGAATGTTTTGTTGTTTTGAAGTTACTGTGACTTGGATGAATGACAGTGCTTCATCAGTTAACGACAATGAAGTAAGCCAGGTTAGCTAATTACATGAAGATGAGATGAGTAGCATATCAACCGATATAAATAGTTTTAAGTGACACAGACAAAAAAAACTGTAATCGACGAAATCAAAAATGCACGTGGAGCTAACTTCATATTAAATCGTTTGTTAATATTTTCGATAACATTATCTATTTGCCAAAAGAATTTAGAGAGATTTTGTCGAAAGGAAAAGAAACAATTCGCAGAATATCGAAAAAATTAATGTTGTATTAACAATAACTTAGGATTCAAATTTGCACATTTCACAGTTCTTCAAAGTATCTGTTAACGAACGACATTTCATTTAAGTCCATCTCATTACAGTTTATCTCTGAAACATATAACATGATATAATAATGAACAAAACAGGAAATGAAGTAAAAGTGAGAAATTCCTTTCGCATCAACCCAGTCATTCTAACCGATGACATCTTTCTACAGATGTTATGTTATGTGGCCAGTTCTAAGATTAAAGGCGACATCTGATTGGATAGTGACGACGTCATAACCGCAGTATTATTGACATCTATTCCCATCACCATCATCAGGCATATTTGTTGAGATGCTTCAGGAGAACAAATGGTATCATGGATATGACAACAAACTAATTAATTTGGTAACCACACATCCCTCTCAAAGCACGAAATTATTATTCCACAGAAGGCATATCGCTTCTTCTGGCAGCACTGTTCATTATATTCATTCAGTGAAAAATCACGAACATTGTGGCTGATTACTAGGACATGGAAGACGTATTCATTTTGTTATATAAATAAAAACACGACATCAGCCAGCACCACATGTTACATTTGTTTCATCTAGTATGTAAACGTGATAGATTCTATCGTTATTTATTTACGGTAATGTCAAAAAATTATTTGGTTAGGTTGTTGATAAATGAAACCACCAGTGTTACTTTGCGATAATATCACAACATTATCCTTATGAATAAATTCACGGTATGAACCATAAGACTAATTTGATATTTGAGACAAATGAAACTGTATTTAGAATAAACTGCTCAGAATTTCATGCTAAATACAAACAGTTCAATATTAAAGGTTTGACTAGTCGTTAAACAAAATCATAGTTTAACCAAACAATGTGATTGTATCAGTTGTGAAATGAAAAAATGAACTTACAATTCACTTCCGTAAAAATAGAAAAGCCAAGACACCCAGCGAAATTCCTAACAAAATCAAACACACTACAAATCCGACTAGAAAACATTTGCGTTTCTTCGATTTCAAAGGTGTAACCACAGGGAGTTCCCCAACGGGAACTGATGGACTGCAAATATGCACTTGAACGTCAGCAGGAAGGATAGAAGGCCCAAGCTGAGAAATATTCTGCAAAAAAAAATGTACATTGAATGTAAATTAACAAAACACTTGTCTATCACTAATGAATAGTTCATTCATTTTGAATTAACGTCAGCAATTGTAAACAAAAGTTATACGAATGAGAGCATCTTCTGGCTGCATTCATCGGGTTTTCGAGTGCACACATATTCACTTGCATCAGTCTTTTGAGTTGCAACATCAGGTCGTTAGAATTGTCATGGTTTCAAGCAAACGTAATAAACGAATCGGAAATAACACATATCTATATAATATGGGTCGCAATTAACTATTCTATGGAGTACGAAAAATACAAATATTGAAAACAGTGTGTTGAATGTAATGAGTACTCACATTATTACCTTCCATGATTACCGAAATCGTTTCTTCCATTCTGTTGAAATCTGTAGTGTTCGAATGCTGAAGTTGAGAGATATTCTGCAAAGCAAAATGCGTGTATTGAATATGAGTTAACTGAGAAAGTGTCTACCACTCATGTATACTTCATTCACTCTACATTACTTTCAGCATTCGTAAACAAACGCAAGTCCGACAAACTGTAACGAATTTCATACATTCACAATATGACTATCAAATATTAATCCAGAACATCTACTACAAGTCTGACACTAAATAAGACCAGAACACACACCATCTCAACTTATTGACAAGTCATAGATAGAACGGAACACGGATTCCACTGTTCACCAATATCAAATAAAACTGAGGAGGAGTAACTAAATTAAACATCCATTCACAGTGAATATATGCCAACAAATATTGATTGATCGGACCATTGATTATTTGTAAATCTACCGACTTAACGCTCAATCAGGTTTCCTAATCTCCTCTTGTAACACCTATGCGAAATCCACACAGCGAACTGAGCACAAGAGAATAAGTTTAAAATATGAAAAGAACGCTACATTCCAACAGTAATTTCTGTAATTAAGATCTATGGTACTTTGAGCAAATTACATTGTCAACTCATTGTAATTGAGGTTGAACATCACATCCTTTTTAATTCAATATGACAATCACTCAGTTTAATATATGTTGCATTGGTAGTGTGATATTTCACTAAGTATAACATTGATTTGTATGAGTTTGATGTCCATTGATGATATGATATTGTTTGTAATGACTTAACGTGGACTATGCTCAGCTTGACATGCAACGTGAGATTTTTCCACAATTCAGTACCTGTGACGTTTTCCTTATGAACAATGCAATGGGTGTACAAAGCATTATATGAATGGCGGATCGGAAACAACACATATCTATACTTATGAGTAGCAATAAACTATCCTGTCGAGTACCAAATATACAAATATTGCAAACAGTGTGTTAAATATAATGAGTACTTGCATTATTATCTTCCATGATTACCGAAACAGTTTCTTCCACTCGTTCGGAATCTGTGGAGTTCGAATGCTGAAGTTGAGAAATGTTCTGCAAAATAAATAGTAAATTCCATAAGAATCAACAAAACAAGTATCTATCACTCATGAATACATCATTCATTCCACATTACTGTCAGCATTTGTAGACAAACATTTTGATTATTGAATATTCATCTAGAACATCTACTACAATTCTGACACTAAATATGATAAGCACACACACCAACTCAACTAGCTGACACGTCATAGATAAAACGGAACACGGATTCCACTGTTCACCAATTTCTGAATGAAACTGATGACGGCTGACCAAATTGAACATCCATTCATATTAAATATATGCAGACAGAGATCGATCGATTCATTGATTGATTGGGCCATTGAGTATTTATAAATCTTCCAACGTGACACTGAATTAGGCTTCCTAAGCTCCTCTTGTAATACCCACACTAAATGTACGCGGCATCATAATCAGTGGTCCGTCAGTCAACTACTATATATCAATAGGCACATATATTTATCGGCCCAGTTGGCTACATCTGATTATCACAACAAGGTGAACCCGAATTTCATATAAATATTTTTTATTAGTTGTAATTTGTAATGAACTGAAACGTAGAGAACTTTTACATCCATCGTCAAGAAGGTTCAAGTATTTATAAACAGTTGTCAGGCGTAAGTAAGTAAGTAATTTGTAATGAAAGATAGCAAATAAGTATGTGATACAGGAGAAAAAAGAATTAGTATGTTAAAAGGTATAAACCAATTTTAGTCGCTTAGTTAAATGGAAGACAAAGAGTGTAGACACCGACGTCATTGTGATCGACACTGAGCCATGGCACTAAGAGTCTCTAACTACTGGTTACGATAGTCACGTGGACCTCAACCAAGTAGTCTGCATCTATCAACCGGGCTCAAACTAGAAGTTAGTGACTTTGTGGACTGATGCCACGCCTTGGTTTGGTCGCCCCAGACTTTCTTCCAGCCATCTCTATCAGCATTGTGCGTCATGGTTACCGGTGTTCAGACATACGTAACAGGTGGCCCATCAACTGTTTTACCATTATTCCCAGATACCCTGCGTCTTACCTCACTATCACCTATCCGGTGATCACAGCAAATGTAACCAATGTTTCTAAGACATGTGTGGTCAAATGCTAGTAACTAACGAGTATCTTCTACTCCTAATGGCCACGTTTCGCAAACGTGAAATAGAACAGAACGAACTGCCGCATAGTATACTCGTCCCTTAATTGATAGATGAATATCTCGCGCTCGCCACAGGCGACGTAAGTTGACAAAAACTAAACGAGCTTTCTGAATCGGTGCAGAGATTCTGTCAGACACAAAGCCATTGAGTCTGATCAGACTTCCAAGATGAGCGAAGTTGATGACTCATTCAACTACTTCTCTCTTTATCCTTAGTTGAGATATTAACGCAGACCAGTCTTTGAGCAACAATTTGCATTGAGAGGGGGAGAAACGCATCCCAAAAATCCATGCATTGTTACTCAGTGCTACAAAAGGACTCTGCATTTTGCCAGCGTCTTCACCACAGAACCTCTCCGTTTTCTAAGTCGAGAAAAAACCATCATTATCTGACGCCTATAAGCATGCCTGTATTTTAAATTCTGACGAATGGTGAATATGTTGTCGATGCAGACATGAACAGATCTAAAGCCATCCAGATTTTCTTGTGTTTACAGCTCACGAGTCCCAGTTAGGCACCCGATAATTATTTAGGGTAGCATTTTGGACGTTTAATTAGTAAAACTAATACCTCCATGGTTATCAAAGGATGATATTGACCCCATTTTATATATAATGACAATCAGAGATGATGACCATGAGGATGCAGAACCTACAAGTCAGACACGAAATGTGACGAGAACAATAAAAAACTCAACTAGCTGACTAGTCATAGATAGAACGGAACACGGATTCCACTGTTCACCAAAATCAAATAAAACTGAGGAGGAGTAACTAAATTGAACATCCATTCACAGTGAATATATGCCAACAAATATTGATTGATCGGACCATTGATTATTTGTAAATCTACCGACTTAACGCTCAATCAGGTTTCCTAATCTCCTCTTGTAACACCTATGCGAAATCCACACAGCGAACTGAGCACAAGAGAATAAGTTTAAAATATGAAAAGAACGCTACATTCCAACAGTAATTTCTGTAATTAAGATCTATGGTACTTTGAGCAAATTACATTGTCAACTCATTGTAATTGAGGTTGAACATCACATCCTTTTTAATTCAATATGACAATCACTCAGTTTAATATATGTTGCATTGGTAGTGTGATATTTCACTAAGTATAACATTGATTTGTATGAGTTTGATGTCCATTGATGATATGATATTGTTTGTAATGACTTAACGTGGACTATGCTCAGCTTGACATGCAACGTGAGATTTTTCCACAATTCAGTACCTGTGACGTTTTCCTTATGAACAATGCAATGGGTGTACAAAGCATTATATGAATGGCGGATCGGAAACAACACATATCTATACTTATGAGTAGCAATAAACTATCCTGTCGAGTACCAAATATACAAATATTGCAAACAGTGTGTTAAATATAATGAGTACTTGCATTATTATCTTCCATGATTACCGAAACAGTTTCTTCCACTCGTTCGGAATCTGTGGAGTTCGAATGCTGAAGTTGAGAAATGTTCTGCAAAATAAATAGTAAATTCCATAAGAATCAACAAAACAAGTATCTATCACTCATGAATACATCATTCATTCTACATTACTGTCAGCAATATCGACAAATTTCACAGGCCTTCCATTCACACTGTCATTTTTAAAGCAACTTACACAATAGGTCGATGATATTTCAAGCGTTTTAGTTGGCTTCGGTATTCCGAGTACCAGCGGAAACTTTCTGCAAATTGATGCAGGTTGAATAATCATTCAAACAGAAATGTAACATGTGATTGCTACGTTTTCCGAAGGTTCTGATAGTTTTCACGGATTACTCATTCGATAATTACATTCTTCAAGAGAACAAAACAACCCTGACCGCGCCAGATAAATAATAAGAGAATAAATAAATGAAACGGAAATGCATAAACCCTTACCCAGTTTTCATGTTATCTTAACAATCTCACCAATTTCAGAATTCAACACTCAAACTTGTGACTTCAACAATTTCGTATCATTCTGACAGTTACATGAGGTCCGAATACACGATACATATGTGTACGTGCCCGTATGTGTGCATATGTGTATACAGTCCGTGATCACTTTTCAATGCACGCACATACAATGAAGTGTAATACTTCAATGTATTCAATCATTCCAATTGTGTTATATGCCTGTTCACTGTTCATTCATGATTTCGATTCACCACATGATATTGTTTGCATTGAGTTTACTTCATCCAAGCTCAGCTTGACATGCAACGAGTCATTTTGTTACGATTTTATACACTTTACTTTTCACTTCTGAATAATGAAATGGGTGAACAAAACTTCATATGAATGGGAACATCTTCTTTCAGTTTCAGTAATCGTGCTTTCGTGTGAACACATATTCACTTGCATCAGTCTTTTGAGTTGTAACATCAGGTCGTTAGAATTGTCATGGTTTCTCGTTTTCAAGCACAGGTAATAGACCAATTGGAAAGTAACATATATCTTTACTTATGAGTAGCAATGAACTATTCTGTCGAGTACGAAATATACAAATATTGAAAACAGTGTGCTAAATATAAAGAATAATTGCATAATTATCTTCCATGATTACCGAAATCGTTTCTTCCATTCTGTTGAAATCTGTAGTGTTCGAATGCTGAAGTTGAGAGATATTCTGCAAAGTAAAATGCGTGTATTGAATATGAGTTAACTGAGAAAGTGTCTACCACTCATGTATACTTCATTCACTCTACATTACTTTCAGCATTCGTAAACAAACGCAAGTCCGACAAACTGTAACGAATTTCATACATTCACAATATGACTATCAAATATTAATCCAGAACATCTACTACAAGTCTGACACTAAATAAGACCAGAACACACACCATCTCAACTTATTGACAAGTCATAGATAGAACGGAACACGGATTCCACTGTTCACAAATATCAAATAAAACTGAGGAGGAGTAACTAAATTAAACATTCATTCACAGTGAATATATGTCGACAGAGATTGATTGGTTGGTTTAATAATTTGACCATTGATTATTTATAAATCTACCAATCTAACACCCATCGGGTTCCCTTAGCTCATTTTATAACCTCTATGCTAAATCCGCACAGCAAATTGAGCGCGAGAGAATATGTTTGAAATATGAACAGAGCGCTTTACTCTAACATTAGTTTATGTACATTAGATTTATGGTATTTTGCGCATTTTAAATGGTCTCGGAATTCTAGAAACTAGTGGAACCAGTCTACACATAGAGGTTTATCGTTTTCAAGCACAGGTAATAGATTAATCGCAAATGACATATATCTACACTTATGGGTAGCAATAAACTATTCTGTCGAGTACCAAATATACAAATATTGAAAACAGTGTGTTAAATATAATGAATACTTGCATTATTATCCTCCGTGATTACCGAAATTGTTTCTTCCATTCTGTTGAAATCTGTGGAGTTCGAATGCTGAAGCGGAGAGATATTCTGCAAAATAAATAGGTATATTCACTATGAGTTAACAAAAGAAGTGTCTACCTCTCACAATATTTCACTCATTCTTTTTTGCTGTTAGCATTATCGAGTAATTTCACAGGCCTTCCATTCACTCTCCCGTTTTCATAACAAACTTCGTCCTCTTCATGTAGGTTTGCAGCTTGGTAACTGGTTTCCTGAGACGTTGAGGCTTTCTTGGTGTCCAGTGTCTTTGAGTGTCCGTTTGTTATACTGTCCTTGGATATCCGGCAATTGTCTCAGGCGGAATACCAACTCATACATCCGCTGTGTTCAACCCCTTTTCAACGGCTCCAGACTCGCAACGGTTTTTTCCAAGATATGACTTCATCATACACGGTAAAACTTCATATATTCCAATTTTT